ATAAATAAATAATAAGAATTTAATATTTTATATTTTTATAAAATATTTTATAAATTTATTATATTTTATTAAATTATAATCTAACTTTTAATTTAAAAATATTTTTTTTTAATATATATAATATATATAAACAAAAAATAAAAGGACAATAATCCTATTACAGTTAGATAACTATAAACCAAATTTTAGTTAATTAGATAAACCTTTAATACTTTTCCAGTTTTAATAATAATAAATATAGCCCCGATTAAATTTATATAACCTATTTAAGTTAGAAATATTATCCTTTTAAGATATATAAAAGTAGATTAATAATAAAATATGTATTGATAATAAGGTATTTAAAAATAACTCTCTTATGGATTAAATAAGTTATAAATAACATATAAAAATTATAAAAAATAACACATTGATTAATATAATTAAATAATATAAAGAATAAATTTATATATATATATATAATTGATATAAAAAAAAGTAAAAAACCTAATTAAGAAAAATTAAAATATTAAAACATTATATATTAAAAAAATAAGACAAAATAAAATAAAACAAAATAAAATATAATAATAAAAAAAAAAAAATGAAAAAAATTAAATGAAATTATGAAATAACAAATTAAAAAAAATATATATATAATTAATGAAAATTTATATATTATTTTAAAAAATTCTTGCATAAAAAAAATCTTTATATATATATAAGGTATATAAATAAATAAATAAATAAATAAATAAATAAATATTTATTTAATAATTAAAATACTTAATTTATTTTTTGTAAATAAATAATTTAACATTTAAAAACAATATACTCGAGAATTATAAAAAATAGCTGAAGATTATTTCGACCATATGTGATAACAAGAACCTAGTATTAATAAAAACAAAATATTTTGAACGTATGTTAAAAAAAGTAAATGGTTAAAAATAAAATAAAATTTAAATATATATGTATATAAATTAATATATTAATAAATATATATATATATATTATTAAATTTTTATATATAATAGAAATATCGTTTTTCTAAATAATTAATATTTATTTTCTTTTTTAGCTTAATTTTTATAAATAGACATTATATAATAAATAGATAAAAAATATTCGAAATTTACATACATTATTAAATTTTATTCAAAAATTTTGTTACTACATATTTATTAACTAAATAGCAACCATTAACAATTAAAAGAAAAACTATTTACTTAAGTTTTTATTTTAAAAAAAGTAATTATGATTAATTATTAATTAAATGAAAATGAATAAAAAAAAAGGTTATAAATAAATTAAAAAAATTATAATAATAAAATATGTCTGATATAAATGTTAAAAATTAAATTAAAAAAATAAATAAAAAAAGAAAAATATAATTATAAATATATATAATATAAATATATATTTTCAAATATATTATATTTAAATATTTATATATTTATACATTATTTTTTATATTTGAAATAATAAAAATTTAATATTTTCTTTATTAAATTAATTATACAAATTTAAAATTGTTACATAATATTTTATGATTATTAAATAATTATATTTATTTTTTTCTTTATTATATATTATTTTTTAAAAATTAAAGAAAATAAAATTTTTTAATATATTCTTAGTTAGTATTATTTTTTTAAATAATAAAATTAATAACAAAATATACTGAAATTTAATAAATAATTATAAAAAATATAAAAAATTAATTTATATATTCAAAAAATATATATATTTTTTTATTTTAAATTTTTTTTTATTTTATTTAAATTAAAATATAATATAATTAATTTAAATTACAATAAAATAATATAATATAAATATATTTTTTAAAATATTATTTTTTAATATTAAATTCATAGCATCTATTAAAAATTATATAAAAAAATTTTACATTATAAGTTTACACTAATATATATTATATACTAATTTTATAATGTATTACAATAAAAAAAAAAAAATATATAAAAATAAAAAACTTAATATTTTTGAAAAAAAAATCAAAATAATTATTATTATTTTTATTTAATTTAAAAAATAAAATAAAAAAAAAAAATTTTTATAATTTAGTCACTTCAAATATGATGAAAATGAAAATATAAAAAAAGAGAATTTTTTCAAAAATAAAGAAGATAAATATATATAATGTAAAGGAAATAAAAATTAAAAATAAACATAATATAAGAAAAAAAAATTATAAAATTTAAGAATATTATATAAAAAAAAAATTAAATTAATAATTATATAAATAATTTAAATATAAAAATAAATAAAAAAATATATAAAAAGAAAATTAGAAAATATATAGATAATTATATATATATTTATAAATATAAATATATATATATATATATATGTATATTTTTATATAATATAATAATTTTTAAATATTTTTTACAATTATTATTATTTTTCATTTTATATTTAATCTTTATCATTTATTTAATAATATAATTAAATATATCTTTATTTTATATCTATATATTTTTAATATAATTAAAATTTTATAATAGTATATAATTATATTTTATAAATTATATATTATTTAATAAAAATTTTATTAAATATTTTTTATTATATTTTTTTTTTATATAAATAAAATAGAAAAAAATTAAGTTTTAAATAAAAAAAGTAAAATTAATTTAATTTTTATTTTTAAATTATTACAGATTTTTAAATTATTAATTTTATTTTTATATGTTATATAATTATATTTTAATTACATTATATTTTTTATATTTTTATAATGAAATATTATATATTTTTAAATAAATATAATAAATAAATTAAAATAAATGTATTAAGCAATAAACATTTTAAAAATATTTTTAATGTTAATATTAATATTTTTATAAATATTTACTTGTAAAGAAAAATTAATTGAATCTCAATTTATTGATGCTTAATTTAGTTAAGATTAAAATTAATGGAATTAAAATAAATACTTTCAATGTACTTCAAATGTAATTTTAAATTTAATTAATATTTTTGGTTTATTTAATTTTAAAACCCCTGAAATTAAAAGAGAATATAGTGTTTTACCTCCCTTTTGGAGTTTATTATTTAGATTCGATATAGTAATTGTTAATTTACCTACTGATCATTAACCAATAGAAATTTTTATAAACGGCGATAAAGTTAGGCATTTTATAAAAAACAACCTCCGTAATAAATATTTAAAACAAGCATGTCATGAAGTTTCATTATATCAAGATTAAGTATTCTAATTTCAAGCTAATGTAACAAGCTAAATATAATATCCTATATTATCGATAAAAAACAATATATTTGCATTGAAAGATTAGGAATAAGGATTTGGCCTTAAAAATTTTTACT